ACAATATGTATAAGGATATTGCCCCTGAAAGTATCTGATTGTGTCTGGTCAGCTGGCTAGGGCTTTCTCTGGCTTGTTGGAAAAATATTTATTTTCCTTGTCCTAACTCCCAGGTGCTACTGCTGAGCAAATGGGAACATCACTGCCAGAAGTATTTGAAAAGAACAAAAAAAATTGATTTGGACAATCTATGCGCTCCTGTCATTGACAGAGACACAAGTGCGACCAGGGTTATGACTAGGGTCAGAGCAAGGTTAAAAGAAAAGCACCCAGGAATTCTCTCTTGTCATCAGCTTTTCAATCTAACTACTCTTGGTTAGCTGCAGGCAATATATAAGTTTTCATCAAATACCAAGAGACGTTTCATAGTATTTACAAGTTGCACTTAAAATTTTCCCAAGAGGTGGCTACTTTTGCAATAGCAAAACACTTAAAATGTGAAGTTCAGGTGGTTAGCACATCTATGACATATGAGGATTTCCTGACAACATGGAAATTATAAGCTTATTCATTACCAACAATTGCGTGAGTTGTATGTGAAACCAAGTAAAAATACTCCTCCTCCTAAGATAACTATTTTAAGGCTGATATTGATTCTGTTATTTTTAAAAGAAATAATTTATTCTTACCAAACAAATATTATCAAGAGATCAATTACTATCACAAAAGAAAGGCTATCTACGTTTTTTTTAAAAGATTGCAGCAAACAATGTAGAAAACCATTAAAATAAAGAAATATGTGGTGCAAAAGTGAAAGTCACTGAATAAATTGTGTCCATTCTGTGGCACAACGCTAAACTATAAACAAACCAATTTAAACATTTGTTAAGGAATATAAGCAGATTCAGAGCAGCAATATTGTCTATGAGATTCAAGGACCAATACTGCTACACAAGACTTTAAATAATTTTCCTTAATATGAGAAATAGAATTATTCCTAAAATTTCCTTTAAACTTGATCTCTTGTACACATAAGTTCAAGATTTCAAAGTTTTTTTTTTTTTTTTAATCAATATTTAGCTATAAACTCAGCTGTGAGGATACTCATGAGCTAGGAGAATATCCCTGAAGAACTAAATATTAAAAAAATTAGTCCTGGAGTAGGATCCAGAGGGGAAAAAATTTAAAAAGTGCTAAAGAGACAAGTGTGCATGTATTAAGAAAGATGTTATGTAACACCTGAGAAATTTTTAAAACCTGCTGATAGCCTTAATTTTTCAACCTTTGGCAAAATATATTATAAAAAAAAATTCTTGTCTCTGTGCATAATATAATCAAGGCATAAAAAATAAGGAAAAGTTAAGCAACGACAATATGTCAGGCATTAATGAAAACAGTTCAAAACAGTAAGTTTAAAGACATATAATTCAACCAGCAATGCTATCCAAGTTCTCCAATGCAGATTTTGAAGAGAGCAGATTTCTTTTTGTGTTTTCACGTTTATGGTACACACTTCCTGTCTGCAGTTTTTAGAAGGTTACTGTGAGTCCTCTAAAGGTTTCTTTATCATTTACTATTATAAATAATTATGTTCCTAAGTGGCAGTTCAAAGCTCAGTACAGCACTCGTGCAACACCACGGAAAGATCAGGTGACCTTTCTCCAATTCTCCTCTCTCTGGTGCTGAGGACAGACAAAGTGATATGTCTGTCATACGCCATTACCATTAGAACAGAATCTTGTTCTTTTATTACAACTGAACTCCGCCAGATTTCTCAGCAGGA